TTTACTTTTTAAAAAAATACAAACAAGGAGAGATAATCTTTTATTCAAACTTCTGTTTTAATAGAGAAGTTCAGACATTTTAAATGTAATTGCATAACATTTTTTCTTTAAAATAATTAAAATCAAACGAAAATAAGCCTCCTATACCACTGAATATAATTTGAAAAGACTTTCACAGAACCTTTATTTCATACTCCCCTTGTGCACATCCTATTTTACGAATTTGAATCTATAGGACAGAGATTTACGGTTTCGTGGATGTTTGCATTTGACAGAACTGACTTAAGGGGAACCAAAGATATCTTCCTAATGGAAATGTAAAATAGGTGCAAAATGGCACTATGTCATATACATTACGTGAAAAATTAAATTGCATTCAGTGGTGTAAGAGGAGTCAAGGATAAGTCATGGCTACCCCAAGTGTACAATATAAAAAGCTGCCTCATTATGTTTTGCGGGCAATGAAAAAGTAAAAAAATTAGGCCTCCCTCTCTCATCATATTTCTTGAAAAAGGCAAGAGAACCAAGGAATTGACTTTGCATCACCTTTGATACTGGATTTACCTGTTCGCCAATTGGTGTAATTCCATTTGGCGCTAGTTCCTGTCCACGCCCAGTTTCCTTCCTGTGGTCCGTCTGTGGCACCCAACCAAATAGCCACTCCCTCTGACAAACCTTCAAAAGTCTTAACATATTTTACCTTGAAGTTATAACGTTTCCAAATACCCCCATATCTAACAAGAAAGCGATTAACTTGTCCGTGCGGTTTGTAGCTGTTGCAGATTCACACCATCTTATATTTTTTAACTATTTCATAGATGAAGGATACATTTATCATAAAATAGGGAATAATTTTCTGTCAGTGAACAACTAACTGAAAAATATTCATAAATCAGCAATTTTTTATAACCTGTTGGCGCACTTTTTTAAAGAGTGAAATTGAAAATAAAATTGTTTACGTGGCTACAAAGCGAGTTTCATGTAAGTTTTTATAACGACTACCGAAATTTTTATTCATTCAAGATCTTGAAAATTTTGCGCTGTTATATAACAAACGTGAAATATAATTTTCTCCTACAATTCTCAAATAGCTTTATAGACAGATTATTAGCTATACAGAGTACAGCGGTTTTTATCGTCCGATAGCTTCAGTGATCTCGTATTTTTTACTTATTATACGATCAGCCATAGGTATCCTACGCTGAAACGTTGATTTTTATGAAATGTGTTTTACCATGCACAAACGTCATCTCCGAGGGAGTCTCAATGTTGACCAATGAGGCCGAGTTTTGCTGACAGGTTTCCATGGCATTAGACCACCTCATCTGTGTTTTGAATAACTTGTAACAATGTCCATCGTTGTACGTCCAGGTGGAATCACACAGGGATAGTCCAGCTTTCATCAGCAACAAGAAATAAGACGTTAAAAAAATATAAAAATAACTTTTTTAGATTCTTCAAAGTGTCATAAAGAATGAAGAATAAACCTGAAAATTCTTACCCCTCTGTTCACATATGTACGGCATAGGAGGGGCTCCTGAACATTGGTAATCATCCCAAAAATCAGCATTCCAAAACTGGAGACAGTCTTCGTTACCCCTATAGTCATCTGGTTGTCCTGAATACCATAAGAATTTTAAAAAATATATTTTTATCAATAAATCTTGTAATGTTCTTCATTCAAAATTCAATTTTCAATTTCATTCACTTTATTAACATGCATATAAATTAAATATTGTATTTTATTTTTTGTTTAGCCAGTTTTGCATGTCAGGCACATGAAGATCACTTTTTCTGTTGCCTGTTGTTATCAGTATGTCTTTCTGTCTGTTTGTCTGCCTGCATAAAATTATGTATATACCGGTTATGCATCACAGAATTTTTTACACCTTCACAGGTTAACAATCTGTCGGAATTCCCATTGATACTAATTACGTCTATTATAAGCAGATCTATTTTTGTATTCATACGTAGCAGAATTTCTTTCAAAACTTCTACATGAAAATATTAAGGTCTTTGCTGTTGCAAACGTATAATAAAACTCCATGATACACGTGTTGACTTTAACTTTTCTATCGTCAACTTCCCTTATTTGTGAAGCAACATATCACTGTCACGTGTATATATAGAATTTATATCTCCCAAGTCTATTTGTTAAAAATTAATCTAAATCTACACAAGCACTCAGAAGTTGATGCTGGAGTACCTCATTGACAACGTTGATGAAGTCTTTGAGGATCTTGTCTTCCAACAAATTTGTGCACCTTCGTAAGGTGGCCTCTTTTTATATTCCTATGAAGCAGAATTTATTTTTTTAAAATTGAGCATTACGATGAATAAACCAACGATGCTTTATCAATTAATAATAGTTACTCCCTTTCATATGTTGACTCAATATGTCCCAGTGAGCTTGAAATGAAGAACACCAGAAGGTGGCCTCATATATTTTATATTTAGATGTTTACTTACTTTACACGATAAGAACGAAAAGAGATAAATAAAAAAAACTGTATGACAAACAAGACAACCGGCTTTTCCTTCGTCTACTTTCTTTACTTATATGTAGTAATATTCCGTTATGACGTACATATGCTGTTTACGTCTACCAAATTATTTGATACTCAGAGCATGAATACGATTAATTTTTAAACCAAGACATGCTACTGAAAGATAAGTTGATGCTACAGTGTCTTTAATAACCTCATTTAAACTCAGCATTTCGTAAATTTTATGGTTGTTATAATAACCTTATTATCGAATATTATTTTTATCATTTATTCCCAGCTCTCTGATTGGCTCAAACATTTAGTATATAACAGCGACTTGAGTTATATTTTAGAATCTGAAATGCATATCGACTTGTGGTTTCTTAAATTGAGATAATTTCTGTGAAACAAAATAGTACTGTATTCAATCAAAGCTAATACAATGATTTGATGTTTATAGAAAAAAAAATATTTATTTCAACTTTTACCAACTTTTTTTCAATGTTCTGTATTTGATGAGTCAAAAGAAGGCATTGGATTAGGATTTCTTCACATTAATTCAAACATATTTGATATGTGTGTCAAATATTGGTCAAAACTTAATCAAATAAATGAAGTATTCTGAATAAGTAAATCTTTAAGTCACTCCATCAATATAAGGAAACGCATTTTCATTAAACGGTGTAATTTATTTTGATCTCTAGTCTCTAAATGTTAAAGGGAGAAAACTTTTCCAATTATTTTCATAATTTGTTTTGTCAATCTATGTGAAAAATAATATAACAAATGTAGCCCTTTAATTCGGTCAATCCATAGATATATCGACTTCACAGAAAAGCATTATGGCTTTTCTGTTATATAACCTTATTACCTCATCAAAGGGCTATATTTATATAATATAACCTATCATTAGATCGTATGTTGACTGACATTTTTCATACCAATTGTTAGGCCTTTGTTTTATACTGAATTTGACAAAGAAGCATTCCGTCTACCCGATCAATACATAGGGCTTACTACTGGTGTAACCGCTCTACAAGGGATGCTCACTTTTCCTAGACACCTGATCCCACAGGCCTCTTGATTTTCCGGCGGGGGGGGGGGGGTTATGTCATGTTCACAAATTTGTTTGTAGTTTTTTCTCTGATCGATAATTGATCTCATAAAAATCATTCTTATTTTTTGTCGTAGATTACGAGCAGAATGTATGGAAATTAATGAATTTGTTTTGCGTTTGAGTTTCATGAGCAGAATTTTTCTATCATCAGCTGACTTACGTGGGTCCCAGTGTGTATACCCCCAGGGCTGATCACTGCTGTACCAAAGCCAATGGCCCTCGACTGAGGCATCAGAACCTCCTAACCAAGCCTGAAGTCCTTTAGACAGCTCTGAAATATCAGTGTTAAATCACAAAATTAGAGCTTGAAAATAACATGTTATTTCGCTGTCAATTCTTCTCGGTGTCTAATAAGGGAATTGGCATTTCATTTATCAGCAAGTTTCAATTCCTTGTGATTGGAGGACTTTGAAATGACTTTCCCTTACCGTACACAAATACTTGTTCATCGTTCGATGCAATGTCCACCAGGCTACTGTCTTCAGCCTGGCATGCCTTCAAAGCATCCGTCCAGGTTTTTGTAGACGTGTACAGTTTGTAACAACTCCCGCCAAAGCTAGACCATCCAGGTTTGCAAGTCATTGCACACACTCTGACCTCTGTTAACATAATTTTTCAAAAATGGAAATGTAAAACGCAATGTAAAATTAATGTATAAATTGGTCTTAAAATATATTATTTGATGTGATTCAGTGTCCTGGCCTTCATTGGTAATGTTGAAAAAATAAAATGAGTGTACGAAGATAGCTAACAGTGTCCATTGAAGTAATTCAAATTCTGGGCAGACCAAACAACCAACTTTTAAAAAAAGGAAAGGTAGGACCAGGTGCTAATTAGGGGTCAACATCATCTGTCGACCGGTCATACCCGTCCTGTACATGTACATGTACTCCTTGTCATTATAAGGGAAACCAAAATTCTCTTTCTTTTTTTAATTTGGAAATAAATAAATATTTCTGCAGAAATAATTATCATAAAACATTGTTCATTGTCCTGAATATTTGATGTTCAAAATAGTTTTGTATTTTATTGTGTTAAATCATTTGCTTTACACTTCATCTCCTTTTTTGAATTCTGTTTCTTCAAAACTGAAGCAAAATTTCTTTACTGTAATAACTGATATTTTTTGTTTTATTTATTATACAACTGACATCACAATATCCCGGTGTAGGGTTCAATTTTTCATTTTCAGTATTTTTCTATGGGATCCAGTTTTTTTCTTTCAACGATTTTGCAAGAACCCCACTTCAATTTTAAACGGTACTTTTGCATAGATAATTCATTCGAAGACTGCTGGACAATATTATGGTATATTTTGAGACAGAAATGATTTTAGTTACACAGTAACATTGATTTTCATATCAAATAATGATTTTCATTACCCTTCAATAGGCTTCCCGGGATATTACCGGAAAATCTGGCACAAATTTTTATTTAAAGTAATTTATCATACATATCATGTTCACGTTTCAGAAAATATAATTATTTCTACACAACAAATGTACCGTTCAAATTCACTTTAAAAATATTTAAAAGTTAATAAAAATGATTAAGAGAATTACGTAGCATGTTTACCTTCAAATTGAATAAGCCCCACCAACAAAGACACTATCATCCATACTATAAGACTGTATAAATATTGGTTCATTTTCATGTTGAAAGCTCATGCGTTACTTAAGAAAATTACCGCTTCCATTTCATCGCTCCCAGAGATGAGGCAAAATGTAAAAATGCAGTAGTACTTGAAATGAAGAATTTGGACTGTCAATTAATGTCACGCCACTCCCCTTTTCATTGTTAATTAAATTTTATTCATTTGACGTTTATAGCTTTTTTTAAATAGTCTGTTAAAATATTTTAAAGCTAAATATTGAACATTGAGATATGCATTTATTTGAACATATGCAGCTATGAATTTATGAGCTTTTTTCGGAGATAATAAAATAATTTTCCTCATATTTTGTCTGTCAATTTTGCTTCATCAATTTTGACGTTCGTTGAAAAAAGTTTTTGTTGATTTTCAGTTACCTATAAAAATCTTTGTATGGAAGCTTTTACAATAAACAGACCAAAACGCTTAAGAAATGTCAAAATCCTTTGCAATTATTCAAAGAATAAAGTTTTCTCTAATGTGTTTCCATTGTTCAGGGTAATTGACACAGTATGCTGCATATATTTGCTAGTTTACAAACATACAGATTTTTATCTCGAAAAGAACATTTTAGGAACCATTGGCGTGAAAGATTATTTTTTACATATTGAAATTGTTTGAGGTTTTAACCAATTCAATTTAAATTTTACTTAATTAAAATTGTTGAATTAAACATTCTATAAATGCATTATACAGAGATTTAATAGTATATCAAAATGTTTAAATCTTATTAAGTTATACAAATATCTTTGCATTTACAAGCAAACGTTCATATTCGAAAGGGTATTACTGAAAAGTAGAAAAAAAATACATGTACCTCATAACATGTACATGCATATTCAAACTGGATAAAACATTAAAAAAAAAAAAAGATTCTTTAAATTTGTGGAGGTCAATTTTCAAAGTCACGGTCATTCAAGTATTTGCAGTAATTTAATAAACTAGAAAATAATATAAAATGACTAAAATTTCTAAGGTGAACCACTAACATCATAATGTGTTGCATTTAGACAAGGACGATGCCAAAGGAATATCAAATTTTTGTTATGAAACGTGTTTTAAAAATCGGCGTACACATGGACTTAGGAAATCAGATGCCAGGAAATGGGAGAAAGTGCAACACAGTGACTTTTTAATTTACAAATGGGTTAATATTTGATTCTCGTGTACGGAGATAGTAAATCGTCTGCAGTTTATTCATATATCACAATATTATCGTAATAGACACAGGGATATTAAGTAGAGATATCATTCTGTAGTTGTACAAATATCAGGTGGGTGGTATTCAATTTCAAAAAAGATATTGTTTTTATCCTAAAAAGAGCATGAAACGACTATGCATATCTTTCTTAAGTTAGATTATGTAGCCAAAATAATCTTCTTTATAAATAGAACATTTACAATCACGTAATGTTCAGTTTCTTCACTCTTACGAATATTTTAAGCATAGACAATTAAGGTACTCGAGCAACGACAATTTTGCATGTGGAGATTTGGAATACTGGTATTGCAGTGAATGAGTCAAGGGTTAAACATTGACCTGTGTGTAAGACAAATCCAAATAAAGTTATATAGGAATAACATAAAGAAACTTGAATCACCATAGTTACTGCAACAATTTAATAAAATGTTTAATGATTAATCTCTAGATGACATAACGATGCAGTACATGTGTGGCAACGCACTTTGAAAAAATTACTCACTTTGAAAAAAATTTTTCAAAGTGCATTCAAATTGGGACAAAATCAACGCACTTTGAAAAAAATTTTTCAAAGTGCGTTAAGGGATTACATCAATATATTTTACCATGGAGACACTTAACGCGCTTTGAAAAAAAATAAGTAAAAAACAAAAATTTTGCATTTAAATTTTAGTAATAGAAAGATTCTATTTCAGTGGACATTATTAATCTTTAAAAGAACTTATAATTTATTTATTTTACTTTTCCCGTCGGGAAGAGAAGACGACCGGTAGATGATCTCTCAGCCTATAGTCCAAAAGAGGGTAATCCGCATTTTCAATGCCTATATGATGTATATCTTTCCAAAATAAGTGGGGGGGATAAGCCCCCCTCCTCTTGCCCTTCGGCCGGTTTCGATGCCTATGCTCTACCCAAACAATGGATATATATGTATTTACATTACCGGTATGACATTGAAAACTATCAATTATTGAATTAACTTAAACAGATGAAAACTAGAAATTTTTTAAGTACAGTAAAACGTAAGAGAGAGAAAGATTTTTTTCATAGTCTCGAAAAATCAAATTGCCCCTCTTACTGTAAGATAAATACTTTGTTGTAAGTCGTTCAATTTTAGCCCCCCCCCCCCCCCCCCCTTACATCCACATATTACAGACAAGAAATTTTAAAAAGAAACGGAAATAATAATATTAAACAATCAGTTCTCTATTTTTGCTAAAAGACCCATTTCCCTTTTATCATGTTTATCAAAACCTTAAATTTTTAAAACGTCAATATCTTAGGTATCCTGATTTGACCTTATCACCAAAAAGGTATCCAACCAGTATCAATTACTTATCATACCGATTATTTGTAAGAATATCGATCAAGCTTTACATTTTTTTCAAAGTGTGTTAATATGGCCGATATTAACGCATTTTGAAAAGAAATTTAATTTTTTCAAAGTGTACGTTAGCTTAGGACCTATCCAAAAATATTTTTGAAAATTTAACGAACTTTGAAAAATTTTTTCAAAGTGCGTTATAATTTTTTCTGTTATTACGTTGAATTCGTTATAACGTGCCTGTTATTACAGATTTGTTGAATTCGGTGAAATTTCGTTATTACAGATTTGTTGAATTCGTTATAACGAATAATGTTATTATGAAATTCGTTATACGAATTTAAACAGATTTATTGAATTCGTTATATATTTAATCTGTTATTACAGATTTGTTGAATTGTTATATAATCAATCTGTAATAACAGATTAAATTCGTTTTAACGAATTCAATAAAGTAATAACAAATTAAATTCGTTATAACGAATTCAATGAATATGCGTTATAACCTGAACCGTTTATATTTCGTTATTTCAATAAATCTGTTATAACAAATTAAATTCGTTATAACGAATTCTAAAAATCGTTATGCATATCAATGTATCTCAATGTAATTATATACACATGTTATGTAATCATACTTGCTCCTTTATATCTTTAATTCCTGCATATTTTAAATGTAACAGATTTTAAAACCAATAAAAATGTATATTATTTCAAAAATATTCACTTTGAGGAAAAACTAATACCAGCTAGTTTAAAAAATAATTTTCTCAATGACTCTTTTTATCATACTTTTATGAAATATATAGATAAAAATCTAAGGATCCTCGAATTCTCCAAGACAAAAACGGTAAAATCTTCAACAAATCCAAATACCTTTTTTTTTGAAAAGGGAGAATGTAAGGATAACATTTTTGTTAATCTTTGGATCCCAATTCCGTTCCAGGATGGAAGATATTCACGAATATGAATCAACATTCATTTTCAACTTTTATTTTGTTCATAGTTTCAAAGAAATACTCTTTGAACAAAACGGTTTAATTCTCTTCAGCAATATTTTTTTCTATAATTATACAGTTAACGAGATAGATCCTCTTTCTATTTAATATAACATAGGTTATAATAAGCTTCATTCCTTATAATTTAATTTCGATGTAGTCAATAAGACAATATTTTCTCTAAAATGGCTTCGAATTGAGCATATCTTTTAAAGTAACATATCAAGCAGAATAATCCAAGACATGACTCATTGTAACGTAGGCAACTTATATTATACTTTATAAAATAGATCTTTCATCCAATCAAATGTCGTACTTCATCTAGAATTAAATTATTTAAACAATATATTCTAATTAAATTTTTTTTTGAAAAATTCAAACACGCACATACGTATTCTGTCGACAGGGTGGATTACGTTATTTGTATGGACGGTTCACTTTCACTTTGATATACTTTGATGATATCCACTCCAAAGGCAAAAAAGATAATGAAACAATTTATTGAAATCTTTTTATGAATCGATTTTTATTATTTTATGCATCACAATGGGATTCTCTGCTCTAGAGTCGCGAAGTAAGGAGTTGATCCTTACGTCGCGGGTTCGAAATCCCACTGTGGGACGTGGAGACCGGTCCTTCAGATGAGACCGTAAAACCGAGTTCCCGTGTCGCAGTAGGTGCTGGCACGAAAAAGATCCCTCCCTGCTTAACTCTAAGTATCGAGTATAGGACAAAATTTGCAGCTCCCCAGGTGGTTGCGTCTCCATATGAGTGAAAACTTCTCGAGATAGACGTTAAGCAATATACAATTAATTAATCTCAGTTGGATTTAATGTTCTTTAAAGTCTAAGAAAGTGTATTTCAAAAAAGTTGATGTTTGTTTTCCACAAGTTAGTTTAGAAATCAATACATATTGAAAGAAATCTAATTACTTAAATCAAGCTCTTGATACCAATAGTTATTAGCATGATATGAACTAAGAAGTGATTTATGGTGTTTTGCAGTAATAAGAAATGCTTTAAACACTATGTATTGTAAAAAAAAAAAAAAATAGAAGAAATAGAGGAAAGTAATGTATCGATAAATATTAAAATTCTGCGCTTTTCTTCAAATGTCTGGATAATAATAGTTTTTTTTTCAAAATATAAATATTAATCAATTTTCAAGAAGAAGAAATTTAGTAGGTGTTTTTATTACCATTGCTTGAAATCATTTACTCATTTTCCCTATAACAAAAATGAGGAAAGTTTTGAATTTCCGTGTGTTAATTCACATTACTTTGAGAATTGATAGACATCTTTTGAGTGTTTTCAATTAAGCCTGGAGAATGTGAGGATAACATTTTTGTTCTTGTGGAGAAAATTTTAAACAAAATTCCTATATATTCCTAAGTTTCAGTCCATTGTAGCCCCAAGATATTTGAACCTGCACTTTATATTGAAGT